ACTTTGAGTAATTTCAAATGCTTGCAAGCAATCAAATGAAGACGTTTATGAAAAATCTTGACTGGGATCTGATGACAACGTTTCTTCCTAACAAGTTTCCTTTGTATGTATTATATTACGTGTTCAGAGAAGTTTTTGCATAGCAACTTCCGGTTCAATTTCTTAGAAAAACTACAAATGTCAAAAAAAGGCCATCAAGAAAATGAAAATTTCATCCCCTCGATAAAGTCAAGAAAACATTCATTTGCACAACATTTTCACCCATGGAAACACAATATTGAAAAACTGACTGAGTTACTGGAACCATACGCATACAAGCTACAAGATCATTACCTGTCGGTAAAGCGGTGACTGGAACTTAAAATCTACCAGAAAGTAGAGGCTGCAAGTACCAGGAACTGGGCCAGGATTAAATTCCCAAATGTTTATTAAATGGTCAAAAAGGGTACTTTCTGATACGGTCGTCTGAAAAGATAACAGAAAAAATCATCATCAATGACTTTATTAGTAGACATGTACAGTGAAAGCCAATAACCCAAATACCCATCTTTTATCCAACTAATACAAACAAATCATGGTATACTTTGAACAAAACAAAACCGCTCAAACTTTGCTTATAGGTTTACAGAATTTATAGTTAACTTTCTCATTGATCAGCTATTAGTGACTTTTTGCTGAATAAGGTGCTCTTTTAGGACTGTTATCTGTAGCTTTAGTTGAATAAAGAGATTTTCTCTTCAGAGACCAGAACACACATTGAAGACATCCAACTCTGCCAAACCAAACAAGCTAATTGTAAGCCTTTATTCACAGACTTCAATATGAAAGTTTGGGCAACAATGCAAGATACTCTGACTCATAGAATCACCCAAATCAAGGATATACCCTACTAAATCACAAAATCACCAAATCTAGGAGTACACTACACTACCTAATCATTTAAACATCTGAATTTTTTAGACATCTGAATCTTCCACCTATATAATCCCAGAATTGACAGTTGCATTGCTTGTTCAATGCTCACACAAATTATGCACATAAAATCGAAATCCATACCAAAAAGAAAAAGGAACCCTTTGAAACGCCATGGGGTCATCATACTCTCCCTTTTTCTATGTCACAACTGTGATAGGCATATTCAAGATTGACTCTTTTGGTAACTGACACTCAATTTTTTAAGGATACAGATAATTTGGTCATTTTGAAATATCAAGAAAGTATACTCCTTGTAGTAAACTTATAGTTTATGTGCTTCACAAAAATGTATATATATGTACTGAAAAGCAGTTAACAAAGATACATACTGATTCAAAGATCTGTGGAGTATTTGATGAGTACCTTTACTGACTTCGGTCTGTTTAGTTCTACATGGGAAACATAACTCTCAACAAGAAATTTAAAACCAATTTCCAGCTCCGCATCAAATGATCCATCAGGATAATGTTTAACTATATCAGACCTCTGACACCATGGGACAAATCCATGATACAAGTCAACTGCTGCAACCACATCAAATAATTGTTCTGGAGAATACCTGGTACACCAAAGCCATATTAGCTTCTTATTTCCTCAATGGAAAAGTGAGAAAGAGAACAGAAACTTGAGATAAGCATATCAGAAATTTGTTTTCTTAACTTCCTCCCAGAGAAGGAATTTCCGCCTATTTACCAGTCAGTTTCAGATACTGGAGTTAAATTAAAACTGAAGCAGTAAAGTAAGAATCACAAAAATTTAAGAAAAAAACAATTGCATTAGGTGCAGAATGACCAATCAATAAACCATGAAAAGATTTGGACGGCTATAATAGAAATGTGGCACTTGGGCATTGATAACAGAGTTTTCATCAAGTGATACATTTGAAAAAGCCAAAAGGCATTCAAAAAATGTTTGTTGTTTCTCTAAGAGCATGTGTGGCATAGCATATATCAGTTACCCTAAAACATTCTAGAAATTGGACTCATGTCCATGATATGGACCCAAAGTAACATATATCAATCAAGAGGTTGTCTAGAATGCCTACGATACATTCATTAATCATATTAGTAAAACATAGAACAAACTAGACACATTAACTTATGTGTGCAGGCTTGCAGTTCTGAAATGCTATTACCAGGAATAATACCAAAAGGGCACAAAACAAGGGAAAAAACTGCATATTTAAGATTACAAAAAAAAAAAAAGCAAACAAACAATCAAAAGACTATTTTAGAGAAAACTTACCCTAAGACACGTCTTTCCTCGTAAACTTTTGACAAAACACCCTCTTCTTCCCCATCTCCACAGCCAAGAAATCTCCTCCTTTGAACCATATGGTTATGCAGTAAACGTCCTAAAGGAAAATTAACATCGTCCTTTTGTGGATCAATTAAATTTTGCATTGAAGGTATCTCAATGCCGGCAATGGTAGTAAGCCGACAGGCCTGATCAAATTTACTCAACTGTTGATTTTTCTTGGCATTCCTAATCAAATGCCTGGTACCACCTCTTTGTGACATCAAAAAACTTACAGCTCTAGAGCTCAAAAAGAATGGGGGCACCATAAATATTTTAAAATAGGTGACTCTGAAATTGGTATTGCCTTGTTAGAGTACAAAGACTGGAGGAGCTAAACTAAGCTTACTTGAGGATTTGAAGATCAAGAAATGATGAGGACAGAAAACCTAGATGGTTAATTTGAAAACAAGCGAGGCATGCACACCCTTAAAATCTTCAGCAATTATTTGTCAGGACAAGGGGTGCCAAATATTTTCTTCTCCCAATTCTTTTCTTCTTTTATTCTTTTTTCCTCGCCAGAAAGGAAAAGGAATAAGAGATGAGGCACTTTACCAGCCCTCTTATCTAAGACATGGAAACTTCATCGCCAAGGAAGTGCTGATTCGGCCGCAGATAAAATCAATACTTGGACATAGTAGACTAACTCCAAATCAACAGATCATTAACTCGTAAAATCTGCAAAGAAAAAGGCAAATTGACCCCAAAAATGTGAGATGTAGGAAAGGAACAATTTCAGAGTTTAGCAACAGAAATATGAGCCTGCAAATTACCAGTGCCTCTGCCATTAACAATGAATGGCTTGAAGATCTGGTGAGAAATGATGTTTGGTTTGGTAAATCTGCATCCAATAATAAAGTTTTACCGATAACTTTTCAAGGGGAAAAAAAAGGACTCAGTTGGTACATATAAAACCACTCCGCAAACCATACAAAAATTAGAAATTCTTGTTTCTTTCTCAAAAATAGTTTAAGCGAAATACAAAACGTGGAATTTATGAGGTTAAAAGACATGATGGTGGTGATATGTTCGCGAAAACAATACATACATATATATGGAATCATATTTCATATTGAATCCTATCCATAAGAAAATCAAAGAATATCAGTCCATATCTGCCATTCTCTTCCGATCTCAAATTAATACAACCGGGACATGAAGGTTGTGTCCCGATCCCCAATGCTTCTCTCCCAATCTAAAATAAAGAAGGTATCGGAACTTAAAAGTGTTTATATCTATCCTAAGCTTCTATTCCGATTAGAAATAAACGCAGCAGATCTTGAAGGTTCTCTGCCAATTTCAAACAGAAACAGCCGGAACATAAAGCGTATTGCTTCATATGAAATAACCACAACCGTATTTCCTAAACTCAACCAAAGTAACAAAGACGAGAGAAGAAATCTGTGTTTTACTTAGGAAAAATATGGAGGAAGAAGTTTACATTGACAACGACATAATATGAAAAACCAAAGATAACGAGGCATGGCCTAATCCTACTTAACAACAAGAACTAACCAAAATCACCATCTCATATCCAATTGAGAAAAAAAATGTCTTACTTGATGACTAATCTTCCATATCAGAAACATAGAAAATTGTATATCCATATAATGAAAAATGAATTGGAAAAAATTAAAAAAAAAAAAAAAAAAAAAAAAGTCAGACACGTGCACATACCTTGCAGCCAGATCCGTTGCTGCTCAAAATCCAGTGAAGTAATTCGATCAATGGCTCTTGCTGCTGCGAACTCGTTTTAAGATCAGAGGACGATCGTAAATCGTTTCCTGCGTTGGGCGATAGACGATCGAGACTAGGTTTAAAGGATGGTTCAGCCGTTGTCTTCAAAATACAAGGAAGACAAAACAGAAGATAAAGAAAGGAAACGGAAGGCGGCGGCACGGAATCATGCCACCGAAAATTCAAGCCATTAGATCAACAACAACAAATCTCAACCGTTAAAAAGAACCTAAATCTACTGACGTACAATTTAAGTAACTCATATTTTAGTTTGACGTCACCCCCGCACCTCATGGCTTCAACCAAATGTTGCTTTTGTTTACTGACGGAAAATCTTAAATAAATGTTAATTTGTTTAAGTGTAAGTAATTTTTTTTTAACTTTGGTTATAATAATTTACGTTTATCATTTTGCTAGTTCACTGATATTTATCCACGAAAAATGTTTGAATAAATCATTATTTTCTTATTGAAACTACAGAAGTTTATTTACAAATTACGTTAATGCAAGAATGGTTAGTATCAATCATATTAGAATGCAAAGTGGGGAAGAAAGTTAACTGTTACAATTCTTGGTTGGTCAACTAACATCTTAACGTGTGTATAAATTAGATCTTGAAATTTTTGTGGGTTAACGACCTTTTTTTATGATTGATCGATGTTAGAATAATGTAATTATTTATGTTAATTGGTAATATAAATAGAATTTTTACCGGATCTTTGATTTAAAAAAAAAAAAAAGTTTATGAATTTTACTAACCAAGTAGCTCTCAATAATAATGTTGTAATTAAGACATTAAATTGGGTTTAATTATTACTAACATGGTGTTTTAATTATTTGTTTTTTTTTATAAAGAATTTTTATTTTATAAAATAATTTTTTAAAGATTATTTCAACTAATTTTTTATATAATATTATTTTATAAAGAAAGGTAAAGAAAATCTGTTAAGTAACAGTGGGTAACTGTTTTAGTGTATTTACACATAAATTAAAATTCAAATAGAACAAGAGAGAATACCTTAGCATTCAACCGAAATAGAAGAAAATCACTTCCTATACCAATTCCCCCATTTAATTTCTTTTACAAAAAAATTAAAAAAAAAAACCCAAAAAACAGACCAAAAGATTTTTGAATTAAAATCTAAAAAAAAAGAAAGCAGTAAAATGAATTATATTAACATTCCACTGTAGCCTTCTGTGCTAAATTACTAGCATGATCACAACCATTCTCAACACCAACCACACTAATACTATTACCATTACTTACTACACTCCCTGCCAATTTCCTCTTCGGTTTAGCCTCTTGCATCATCAACACCACATCCCTCATCGAAGGTCGGTCTGCCGGATTCCGACTAGTGCATAACAATGCAATCCGCAACATTTGCATCATCTCTTCTCTCACCGACGAACACGAGGCACCCGCATTCTTGTCTAAAATATCAATAATTCCATTTTTAGTTTTGATCTTAGACCTTACCCAATCGACAATGCTGTTGCCATCGCCAAATTCTGCGTCTACTGATCTTTTCCCGCTTATAATCTCCATTAGAACAACTCCGAAGCTGTAAATATCGCTCTTTTCGTCGACTTGGAGGGTGTAAGCATACTCTGCAAAACCAAACATTGTAAAAAAATTTGTAATCCAGTACTGCCCGTATCACTAAAACTTTAAGAGAAACAAAAAAAAAAAAAAAAGATGAGGGTAAAGGTCAACATCTAATGCTTCATTCCGTGGATTTGAGAAAAATCAAACTATCAAATCCAGGAAATTCTTGATTTTGGTAGGACCCACTTAATTCGTTAGATCTTGCAAAAAAAAAAAATTAAAAATAAATAAAGAAGAATTAAAAGAGAAAAAAGGCAACGCCTTTCACGCGCGAGGTATTGGATGTGAATTACCCAAAATACCCCGCGCCAAAAGATGAAAAACTGAAAACTTATGGTTCTTACAAATAACCATTTAGTTTTTTTATATATATATAAAAAAAAAAAACAGAGGATAAGTAGAATTAAAAACTGCAAAATAAAAACATTTAATTCAATAAACACAACAAGCTTAAAAAGAAAAAAAATAATTAAAAAAAAAAAAAGTAGCCATGTCTTCTTTTTTCTGTTAAAAGATAAAGAAAACATCATCACAGATTCCTAGTGTAAACAAAAAACAGTCATAACTGGTGATATAAAGTAGATCAAAGCAGATACATTGAAGATAATCATGGAGGTAAATTTTTTTTTTTTTTTTTTTTAAATATATATATATATATATATTATATTATTATAGAAAGAGGGGACATTCTTCACTTTTTGGAACCCACTTCAATCATTTGTTTATTTGTAATAGATTTTACATCGGTCACGTTTAATACGACCACTCATCAGGAGATTAATCTTAAATTATGCTAATTAATCATTAATTATTCATATTGGATAAATAATTAGCTTTCAAGTAAAAATAAAAAATACAAATCAATGATTATTAATAATTGATTATGTTGATCAGTGAGAACATGTTCGGCTTCTCTTAATGCAAATAATTTAATTTAATTTAAATAAAAAAAAACAAAAACAAAAACAAAATTAAGATGACGCACCTGGAGCGATGTAGCCGTAGGATCCAGCAATCACAGACATTGACTCATCGCTCTGGATCAACTTGGCCACTCCAAAATCTGCCACTCTGGCCTCCATCTCACCGTCCAATAATATGTTACTCGGTTTCAGATCCCGGTGAACGATAACCGGGTCACAGTCGTGGTGAAGATAGCAAATACCCTGAGCGACGCCGAGAGCGATCTTGTATCGGGTCACCCAGTCCGCTACTAAGTTCTCCCCCTTATTCTTGCCGTGCAGCAGATCATCCAAATTCCCATTTGGCATGTACTCGTACAGCAGCATCGTGAAATCCCTGTTGCTGCAGCACCCTAACAATCTCACTATGTTACGGTGTCTGACATTACCCAACACCTCCACCTCCGCTAGAACCCCTCTCCGCCGTCTGATGTTACTATCCTTGTGTTTACCCCACAGTTTCTTCACCGCTATGATTTCGCCACCTGGCATTTCCGCTTTGTACACTGTTCCTGTGGACCCCATTCCTATTATCTTATCGCTCATGGAAAGACACTCCAGAACATCATCAGCCGTGAAATTTAACCGCTGGAAGGCGGTTAATTTCCACGGTCCGATTTCCCGCTCCTCGCTAAATCGACGGCTGTAATTCGCGTGGAAGCACCGGGTCCCAGCCACGAGTACAAAAAGGCCGATACCAAAAGCGGCCGCCATTATCCAGACGATGGCTCCGGCTGTCTTCTTTGGTTGCTGGTGATGGCCGCGGACCTCGACTTCCCCGGCGGCGAGGCTATCTGCCGGACACGGCTTCGATAATATCCCGCCGCAGAGCCCTTCGTTTCCTGAAAACGAAGATGGATGCAGGTTCGGGAATATTGAACCGGAGGCGGGAATTGGTCCGGTGAGTAAATTGTAGGATACGTTGAAAATTTCGAGCGTGCTGCAGTTGCCAAAGTTGGAGGGGATTGAACCGGTGAGGAAGTTGCGGGAGAGATCAACGGCTGTGATGGAAGGAAGCGTTGATATCTCCCAGGGAATTATGCCGGTGAGGGAGTTCCGGCTGAGATTTAGACAGAGCAGCTTCTCACAATGGCCGACATCCCATGGAACGCTGCCGTTTAGGTTGTTGTCTTGCAATTCGATCTTGTACAAGTTTCTACACCCGATAAAATCCGGGATTTTCCCAGACAGGTTGCTAGAACTGGCTGAGAAAATCTGCAGACTGGGGGCTTCCCATATGTTAGAAGGCAATGAGGAGTTGAATGAGTTCTGGGAAATATTGAGGAACTGAAGCACCGGCGCGTTTCCGATATCAGAAGGGATTTCGCCATTGAAGTTGTTGTCGCTGAAATCGACGAAGGTTAGGTTGCGTAACCGGCCGAAGCCGTACGGGATGCTGCCGTTTAGATTGTTGTTCTGGATTCGAAACCTCGACAATGATGTGCAGTTGATTAGACTTTTTGGAAGCTGGTCCGTGAACTTGTTGGAGAAGAGAATGAGCTTGAAAAGCTTATTTCCATGGCAAAGACTTGGCGGGATTGGACCCGTGAGCGAGTTCGTCGACACATCCAACGACAACAAGTTCCCATTTAAACCCAGCTTCTTTGGGAGGATTCCCGTAAGGTTGTTGTTCCAGAGAGACAGAGTGGTGAGGTTTGGCAAGTCACCGATTCCTTCTGGTATGGTTCCGGTGAGCTTGTTGCCTATCAAGCTCAGCCATGTGAGCTCTTTTAGTAAGGATATTCCTTCTGGGATTGTCCCTGAAAGCTGATTATCAGATAAATCTAGGTACTGGAGAGCTTTTAGGTTGGTGTAACTCACAGGAATTTCACCGGAGAAATTGTTCTTGAACAGATACAGGGCTTCCAACTTGGTTAGGTTGCCCAGCTCCGGCGTGAGAGAACCAGAGAGATTAGAAGATGAGATGTCTAAGTAGTTGAGATTCGAGAGCAATGAGATTTGTACTGGTAGGTTGCCGGAGAATTTGTTGTATCCAATCTCTATGCGCTCCAACTGTGTCAAGAATCCTAACTGGGCGGGTACAGGTCCTTCAAGTGAATTACCGGCCAAGTGCAGAAACTTCAATCTCGGGAAACTTCCATAACCGACGGGAATGGGTCCTTCGAAGTAGCTTCCTCCGAGGTTGAGCTGTTCGAGGAAGCGGAGGCGGATGAATTCTTGCGGTAACGGGCCTTTGAAATTGTTGCTGTACGCATTGAAGATCGTCAAGAACCTGAGCTTTGATATGCCGGGAGGAAAAGTAGAATTGAAGGAATTGTGGCTAATGTCAAGAGTCCTAAGCTGAGTGAGCTCAAAGATGGCAGGCTGCAGAGGCCCATCAAATGAATTGTCACTTAAATCCAACTCTTCCAAGGTCGTTAAGTATCGGATTTCAGGAGGAATAAAGCCAGAAAGATTGCGGCGAGAGAGGTCAAGGGACGTAATTTGATTGGTTTTGGGGTTACACTGGACTCCAGACCAGGAACACCAGACAGGGTATTGAGAGTTTGGGTCGGGGAGGAGCCAGTCATGGAGTGTGGAGAGAGGGTCTAAAAGAGAGGATTTGAGGGAGAGAAGAGAGAGTAATTGGGGAGGAGACTGGGAGGTAACAGAGAGAAGAAAGGATAAGAAAGAGAATGTTAGAAAGAAAAGAAAAGGAGGTTTCATGGTGATGGAAATGTGGGGATGAGGGATGAAGGGGTAAATGGAGGTGAGAGACGTAGATTTAAGGGAAGGGAGGTTTTGATGGAGGAGAGAAAAGGTTTTAGAGAGTGCAGGGTGCAGAGGGTGTTTCATGATGATGATGATTATTTTCTCCTTAACTTTTCTTTTTTTTTTTTTTTTTTTTTTTATATTTTTCCTTTCTGGTTTTAATTTTGGTGGTGGAAGAAAGAAAGAAAAACTTGAAAACACTGAAACTTATTCTTCTTCTTCTTCTTCTTCTTCTTCTTCTTCGTCTTCTTCTTCTTCTTATTCTTATTCTTCTTCTTGCTGCTTAGAAATCCTATAT